AGCAGACTTTCTTTTGAAAAGCTGCAAGAGGTCATAAAGGTCAAATAATGCTAATAATAAAGTCCTGCAGATGCTTTTGATCTAAAGCAGACACAATTTAAAGAAAAAAATCCCTTAAATCTGTTAAAAATAGTATTGAAGCTTCTTCCTGAAAGTTAACTCTTCAAGTGTTAAAATTTACGTTAGCAGAGCTGAGTGATTTGTTTTGGCTGTATACCGTGATTTATTCTGCTTTTTTTTTTTTCTATATAAATATCTGCTGCTTGTGTTGAATGGTGAAAATGATTGAGAATTGGTGCTCTGTCAGAYTCTAGGAGAAATGACAGATTAACATCTCTGCTTATACACTTAGGAGTAACCTGAGGGAAATTCAGTGATGGTGTGTGTGTTTTTGTATCAAGTGCACTGTCAGGAAACACTGTCTGGCTGAGGTTCATTCATTCCCAAAGGCCAGCATAGAGGGAGATAAGAGGTGTGTCTGTGCCCTCTGAACTGCAGCGAGATTGGAAGATAAATAGTTACAGCTACTCAGTGGATTGAACCAGGCAACAGCTCAATAGTATRGGCTGGATTCAAGTGATTTTAAATGATTTTTTTTTTTCTTCCTGCCTTCTCTCCAAAGGAAGCTGCCAGCCTGCCTCCCTGAACTCTCCAGACTTGCCTGGAGCCATTCTGTGGTGAGCAAGTGGTTATCCCAAAGCAGAGGTTTGTTTTCTTATCAGAAACTGTGCCTGACCTTGGATCAGCTCAGCTGGTGGCAGAGTGCAGAGAGAGCCAGAAGGCAGTTTTGGGTTTTGATGCTCTTCCAAGTCGCTTTTGTATCACCTTTATCAGGGTGATGTTTGTGTAAACACAAGGAATTAAAGAAATTYTATCTGGCGTTGCACAGCTCTGCATCGCTGCTGGTGAGCTCTCAGGGTGGTGGTGGAAGTCAATCACATCAAAGCAGGKTTTGTTCTGAATTTGTGACAGAAGTTCTGTTGTGCTGCAACTGCAGTGCTGATCCAATCACTGTGATAAATGCAGTGCCAGTGTTCATTAATCTCTGACAGGGATCAGCAAAAAAACCGCAACATTTATTTCAGTAGCTTGAATTTATTTAGTGGGATAAGGGAAGGAATGAGCAATTTTGTAYTTCAGGATGGAAACTTGGTGAGCAAGTGTATACATCAGAGTGTTAAGGCCTGTCAAACACTGGCAGTTCTCTCAAATTTAAACACATTGAGGACAGCAGAGAATGCCTCAAAGCAGGGAAGATTTTCTGTGGGACTCATCCCTCTGCTCATAGYGACTTTCTGGACACAGCTTCTGACTTTCTACTTTGGGGGACAATGGCTATTTTGACACTGCTCTTTTATCATCAGCACAGTGCAGTAGGAATTCTGTTCCAACATCCTTGTGTTGCAGTTTAAAGTTGTTAAGTCTTAATTCCTGCCTYTCTGAGGTTCTAAAGATGATTAGTACCACATTTATGGGAAAACACATTTGTGTGGGGAAGCAAGAGTAAATATTGATAAATTGTATTTTACATTCTCTCTCAAAACATTTAGTGTGTTTTGTGTGTAAGGAAAGTTCAATGTTTCCTTTGATAAAGCCTTGTGGTGGTTAATTTCTTATTGATAGGCATTTCTTTAAAAAAGAAAAAAAAATCAAACTTGTCATGAGTTCTTTCAGCATTCAGAAATGTGGCCAGGTCTCTTATGTATGCTGTCTGGAAACTTCAAACTGAGGATTTTCAGTTTTGTTTTATACGGTTACCTTCTTTTTATGATTTTAAAAGGATGTGGATACCTTCTGTAAGATGTAGCACTGTCTATCATCTTAGGCTGCCTCTTAAATTCTGTAAAATATTTTACRGTTAAAGACTAATCTCCTACAGGCTTGCAGTTAACATTCTTGGGTCTCTGAATCTGTGCTTATGTAATGATTTTAAATATAGAGTGGTTAAAATTTTCAAAGATACAAGATAGTGACTGGAGATTGCTGCTGCCAGATTTGCCAGACAGACCAAATGGCTGCAWGGGAACAGTTTTTGAACAATTTTAGTATTACATGAAAGCTGGAAGCAGCTTCTAGCTATACAGAATAAATAGGAGTGCACTCAGAATGATATTTAAACCTTTTAATTTATTTGGTTCATCCATCTCGCATTTCCAGAGTGCACTCCTCAAGAGCAAGAGGTTCATATTGGTATTTTCTGCAATGATATTTATTCAGCATGATTGGGTGTTGACTCTGAGCTGAGATATGGTTGTTACACAGTAGACTGAACTCTAACCAATTACAAAGTCCTAATCAGAAGGTTGGAACCAGATATGTTCCATTTAGTTAAAACAATTTGCTTCCTTCTGTGCTGTCACACATACTTTCCAGCAGAAAATTCTCTGGAAATGGTGTAAGAAAAACAAATTTGTGATGCTGTTACCAAAAGGAAGTCAGTGTGATTCAACAATTTGTGTTTTCTCACTGCCTACAGGCATTTCTTCTGTRAGAGCTTTTTGCATCTAGGTTTTCTTGGACACTGAAAAAAACCATGTTAATCTTATATATTACTAAATATATGTCTTTATTTGCCCCTCTGCCCTGCCTTCCGCATGGAAAATTTTCTTCAAAAGTCACCATTAATGATAATCACACTTATCTCAAGTGCCAGTGCTGCCCAGCTGGTGGATCCATATTTGCTGCCTTTAAACTCTGTATTTGGAATCAAATGCATATTTTCATTCTCTTCTTTCCCGAAGCTTCTCTGTGCTTAAAGTTTAGAGCTATTTCTCAGTGTCTCTGCTGCTGGGGTAGTAGGATTCCTTGGGGAAGTCTTGGATTGTCAGAGGAGCCCACAGGAGTAAAAGAAGAGCTGTGTAAGACCCACTTGTCTGTGCAGTCCCTAGCACCAGTTTTCTTATGTCCTTTTGCAGGCAGGTTTGAAATACTGTTTYCTTATTCCTCTAATTAAAACCCAACCTTGTTTTCTCATTTTTTTAATCTCTTGTAAAATCCTAGAGGAAGGCTCTGGGTATCAAGTGAGATTTTCTTCCTAATATCTCTTGTCATAGCAGGTAGTCAGTTTTTTAAAGACATAGAAGGTCTTTTAGATCACTGGGTTTATAGTAGCCATGGTAGAACCTCCACTGATTTGATTTTTTAAATTCCCCCATGCTTGTCTTTGTTTGATGCTCGATGTCTCTAGCTGGTTTTTAGCTGTCACGGTGGAAATATGAATTTAAGGCTAATTACAAAGGCAGCAAGCAGTAGATGTAGTGTGAGACAGTTCTAGAAGAGTCCCAGGATGAAAACAGAACTGGGATTGTGTGGGTGAACTGGGGAGGAAGGTGGAAGGTTTGGGAGTGAGGAAGGCTGCCTGAATTCTTCTTTGCTAATAGTGCCAATTTCCCCTCAGCACAGAGATACTCCTGTGTGTTATTTGGAGTGAAACTGAGCTCAGGCTGTTCTAGAGCTTGCTTTGGATGAGCACAGATCTGTCATGAGGATAAAGATGTGTTCAGGTGCTTTCAGCAGGGATGGAGGGCAGATCACGCTGTTCACCCACTGTCACTGATTTCCTGATGCTCAGCTGTGTTTGTCTCCTGAAGAAGTTCATTTGCTCCTGGCGTGATTCACACARGGTTTGTGCAGCTCAGGTCACTGTCCAGAGCATTCCTACAGGGAAAGGAAGAGCCAGGAATATGGCCCAGCCTGGTTACACACAGTAATTGMAACCCTGCTCTGCTCCTGCAGACATTGCTTTAAATTCTGCTGCTGTGGGCTTTTAGTGTCCAGGCACATGTGATCCATCCCATTTAATGAGTTCATTCCAGATCTGCCCTGACTTCAACTCTTTCTATTGTATCTCATGGAAATGCTTCTATTTAATGAGAAAATTAGCTGAGCCTAGTGCACTATTCAGTGTCATGCTGGGAGCTAGGAAAAGGATGGGTGTTCTTGGAATAGCAAGGCCTCAATTACAGATGTTTCAAGAAGGATTCAGTGTTTTAAAACAAGTGTGTAAAAACAAAATCATACTGTCAATTGTCACCTGCAGACCTCAGATTTACAAGAAGAAGCAAACGTATTGTAGATMAAGTGTGTTTAGGTAGATGTTTTATGCTCTTACATTGTGTGAGTTTGTTCTTTCAAATGTTCATCTGCTTACACCAATAGATGAGATATTTAATTTGTCTGGATGTTAAAACTGGAGAAAGTCTTTTACCTTGGAACAAGTGTGCTTTGATAAATAATAGCAAGCTTGTCCTTCATGGTATAGAAAAAGCTTTTCTCCTTTGAGATTTTTCTCTCCTACACAGATATTATTTGTTTTCACTTCAAAGATTTGAATTAGGGATTTTACTGTTTTCCACACCCTTGAATCCTTGAACAGGCACAGCACCACTGTTAGAAATTCGTTGCCTTCCTTCTTTCTCTTCTACTTCCCATGTGGTTCACTGGAATTTGTTAACAGTAGGAGAACTAGAAACCTAAACCTTAACTTTGTAAACTTYGATATTCCATGTAGTTGTGGAGAGTGTTTTAACAGAAGAGGAAGTGTCTGTGTGCATGTTTATAGAAAGAGGAAGTGAAAGTAATAGTAATTGGATACAAATGGGAGGGATCTGGGGGTRAAAGTCAACATCTGCTGGGTTTTGAAGCTGTGTTATTAACTCACTGACCTCTATTCAATTTCACTACAGCCATGTAAAATTTTGGTTATTTTACAAATTCTAATGTCTATTAGAAGAATTAAGCCTCCATTAAACTCAATTATTGTAGCCCAAAGCTACTTTTCCCCCCTCAAAAGTCTGGAAAATATTTGTTTCCAGCTGCTTTATGTTGGAAACTTAGTCTGTGGTTACAAGCAAAAATGGAAGTGTGCATTGTCTCATTGCTGGAATTATGGTACAGTTTCTCTCCTGTGAGTTGGGGAAAGTTGAGAGGGTGACCATCACTGGATTAATTGTCCTCTTGAGTTTACTGTTTAAAAACAGGAGCTTTGTTCTTTTTTRCAGCCACTGATCTCCTTTTGGCTTGGAATCCCATTTGTCTGGGCCTGGTAGAGGGAGTCATTGGTAAAGTCCAGCTTCATACAGGTATGTGCTAAGTTTTGTTTTGATTTTTTTTTTAAATTTATTTTGTTTACTGCTGAAGTTCTGTGATATTACAAATAATACTGCATACCTCTAGTGGAATGGTGTAGTATTCTTTGCTCTGGAGGAGTATTCCCCGAATATGGGATTATATGATAGCTGCAGATGCAAATTCACTCTACTCTCCTGTCTATGTATTTCAGTTTAACACTGTGCTCTAAAAAATAGAGAACTGCATTCACAAATAGTAGAAATTTGTGTCTGAAGCTCTATCTGAGGTTYCATGTGAGATTTATAAATATTTTGGAATAATCCTTTCAAGGAGATTCTGTTTGTTCTCCTGTGGTACGGTGCAAAAACTGATAAAGGAAGTTTTCACACAAGTATAAGGCTTGAATGCTCAATGCTGTATGAAAACCTGAAGAGTAATTGCTACCTCAGTAGAGGAATATTTGAAATCAAAAGGAACACTTAGACTTGTTTGCAGTTAAATGACAGAGCTATATAATTCAAGCAGGTATAGAAGTCATTGTTATTTTAATGATAAGCTTGTCTCTCTAACTGATAGTARTAATGTTTTCCTGTAAAATAAACTYAATACTCCTTTTGCTTTATCAGCTGCAAATTCCTGAGGCCATAATAAATATTTATTTTGATATATACCAACTTTGTCTGGAAAGATACCTCTGCCAGTAGAGCTCTGGMTGTCTATTTTCTGGCAGGTAGGAAAGGTAGCCATAAACCCTTGTTGTGTGCCATTCTTTTTGTGAGTGCTTGGACCCTGCATTTAAAGTAGTGCTTGGCAATACGATCAATACAGGTAAAGTTTCAAGTGTGTTCCAGGGGAGCAGGATGGATTAAGTGCTGACATGGATCAGATGTTTGTGGTGCCTTGAATAGAAACAGATTGGTCAGGSTGGAAGTGCCCTACTGGTGATAATGGGATGGAGAGCAGGGACTGGGGCACACTGGTGTGAGTGTGGGGCAGATTAGTGCTCCATAGRTGCTGTGACCCCTGTTTGACAGTAACAATTCAGAGCCCCTCTCTCCACAAAGTTCATGACCATGTCCTCTTTCCATCTGCATCACTTCATCTTCTCTCAATTTCACCTGGTGTTTTTGTCTCAAATCTGTTCAGCCCCCCTTTTTMAGAACTGATGACATGAACTGGTTCAGACTCTGGCATCTCACTTTCTCCTCCTTRTTGTCTGTGCTGTTCAACACGTGCTGTCCACCATGAATGATGGCTAAACTCCAATAATGACCTTTTTTTGCTGTGGGAAAATGCTCAGTGATTGGTTTTGACACGTGTTTTTTGTATTTGTGTGGGGTGTGGTGTTTTGTTTTAMAGCCAGGCCCTTGGATACACAAAAGCCTTCCCCCCACTTCTCTCTAGGGAGTCTAGTTATAAAAACCTTTGAAAGGGGAGGCCTCAAATGCATTCTGAAGGGTCTTTTAGTATTTTTGGCAACTGAAGATCCTTGCATGTGTGTTTATTGTGAGCTGCTTTCTCTGCTTATGAAATCCGAGTTGAAACTTTCCACACTTCAACAGGTGTCAGCTTGCTGTTGTCAGGTAAATTAAGATTATCAGCTAATAAGCCTGATATCTCTTCTTTCCATGTGTCCTATAGAGGTACTGAATCAATTAAGCTCATCCAGGCATTCCACTCAGGTGCTGCTTAGGTCAGTGGAAGTTTTCTTTTGCTTCTGTCTTGTTCASATGACACCATCACAGACTRTTCATCCTTTTTATTGTAGATATTSTGGTGAATAGTGATGYRTCCRTCCTSTAAATGGTGTTTTATTWTCTACCATTAAATGTCTGAAGAACGATAGCCTCCAGCTATTTTTCYTTACTTTTCTTCTGAGAACTACTGCTCCCTTGAATTTGCTGACATTTCCTGATGAGTGTCATCCATCAGGCTGCAGTCACAATSAGAGGGCTGACTGAGCTGTCTAACACAGGTTTCTTCAAACCTGCTATTTTCAATGAACTCCTACTTGATCATATTCAAGCGTAGCTTGGTGTTATCCTCAGGCTGAACCATCTAGCAGTCTGTAACAGTAACCTGTCTTCATTACTTATTCTTGTATCAATCTTTGTCACCTGGAAACTTTAGCAGCAGAAGTTGTATAAATATTTAACATTGCTGGACCGTTCTGTGGTCCAGCACAGAGACTTGTGCTGTAGGAGCTGGCTGAAAAGCTTTTTTCACAGACCTGGCCTGCAGCAGGAGGACTTGCTGCTCTGATTTCCTCTCCCCTGCCCCCAGGTTATGAGGATCAGAAAACTTAATTTGAAGCTCATTTGGTGAATTTRGGCTTGTCCTGCTCAGAACCTCGTTACCAGCTGTTGTTGGAAAGARGTTTTAAAAATTCTTAGCACACACAAATGCTGGAAACTTCCAATGCCTTTTTGAGTATTAGGACAGCTACCAGTGCACTCAGAGCTGTCACTGAGCCTGCATGCACTGGGATGTCTTGGTCACAGATCCTCATATGTTCTTGAAAGATTTGTGTATTGCAAGAACACTGGAATTGTCTAAGATGACCTTGAAATGTCCCTGTAATCAGTCATGGGCTGTCTGTAATTTAGTGTTGGAATACCCTTGCCAGTTTGCTGTAACCAGGGATGGGGTTTAATTTACTCTAATCCTGTTGGTTTTATTGCTTGCCTCATACAGGAGAATTTGTAGGAAAGCTGCTGTGACAGGGGAGCAGTCTCATAGAAACCACATAGCCAATATTACATGTTTTGTTTTTCAATTCTTAGAAGAATTTTTGGCATCGGGGGGCAGTTGAACATCTGAACTGTACACTCATAATTGAGATTGAAGTCTGTTTAGTGTTTTATTCTTCCCCAAACTGAGTTTTCTCAAACATTCATATGCTTTTTTTTTGTGTAAGTATGTATGTGGGGATCACAAACCCAAACAATAAAACCTTGATTGAATATCAGAATGAAGAATGTGATCACTTAGCATTTTCTGGCCTGTCCTAAGATCACTTGTAAGAAAATGCAGGGTAACAATGGGAATAAAAGGAGAAGGATTTTAGGATGTGTTGTGGGGACGTTACTGAAACAGATTATTGTGCATTTTCTTGGCAAGATGCATGATTAAAACTGTCTTTACATGATCTTCCTATATAGAAGCAAACACATCTGTTGCATAAAGTGTCTCCTTTATAGAATATTTATTTTGTTGTCCAATATATCTGATTATAACCAAAGCTGGWTTTCTTAACTAGTTCCTGCAGCTGCCCCTTAACCCACTCGTTGCCACCACAGGTTCTTGTGTTTCTTGGTCAAAGCACACCCCTGTGCAGTCCAGTGTCTGTGCTTGGATTCATTTGGAGTGTTCTTCCAGTGCTGSTTAATTAAGACCCAGGTTAAATGCTGCTGGCAGGAGTCCACAGATTCTGTAAACAGGAGGGAAATGGAGTTCTTCCTTCCTTATCCCTGCTTTTTTTTTGTTAGCATGCCTCTGAATTTTGATAGAAACAACATTCTATCCTAGACTGTTCAGCATCTGAAATCTCTTTCAGATATAACTCAACTTTACACAACCAGCAACCTAAAGCATTCTTTTTGCATGCAACCAATTTTTAAGTCATTCAAATAACAAAAACTGTGAAGTAGAAGCATAGAATTTCTTGGCTAAAATCAAAATACTTGGAAAAAACCAGCATCTGTAGTAAACTCATGTACCATTTAAGAAAAGCTACTGCAAAAGCATTTGGGTGAAAGTAAATGCTAAATTGTTTGRGAAGTGTTGTGCTGACAACAGCAGTGTTGTGCTGACTGTTGAAACAACRGAGGAGCTAAATTTCCATTTTAGTGAGGCATGAGAGGTAATAGCTTCCTTTGGATACAATAMTTCAAACTAGTTGTTGCCATCTGCTCTGCCATAGTTCATAAAACACTAAAAATGAGCATTAAATCCTCAGAGATGACTGGAAACATGCACTTTTCTAGAATGGCATGCAGCTGTCACGTTCCTCTGTGCACACCATACCTCASACTGAGTAGGCAATAACTAATCTTGTGTGGAACTGCTTTTTTCTTTCTGGCTGCAGCAGCACATGCTCTGTGTTTAGGGATTCAGTTATTTAGATATTGCTGGCTATTATAATGTGCTGCTTTTATGGCTATTGTTGAAGCTTTTACTTCAGGGCATACTTTATCTGCATAATTACTTCCTGACTGTTTGCTTTTGATCTGCTGGGGAATTCCTGTTTTCTTTCAATGTTCTCTGGCTATAATACAAAGAGTTTTGCAATGTACACCAAGATGACATTTGAGTGCTTTTTAAAAAATGACAAAAGGATGCAGAACTCACTTGTCGGTATTTGTATATATGTCTTCTTTACTGCTCTCAGGGTTTGTTAGTATAGGAAGAAGACTGGGCAGAGATTTTTCCTTTTTCAGTTTTTTTCCWTGGCATATCTGCTCAGAAATGCCTTTAGCTCATACTTATCTCCAGTAGAGCCCTGCTGATGAATTCACGGGAGATCTAGATGGTACAAGAATKTCTGTTTTGTTTGTTGACAGATATTGGTGATCTCCTAGGAGTAAATTGTGTGGCCAGTTTCCTGTAGGTGGGAGTAGATGAGATTATGGGACTGCCCAGCAGGAATGTCTGTCTGGATGCCCTGTTCTTCCCTTCTCTTGAACTTGGTTTGCCCTGGCTTTCCCGAGGCTGCTGGCTTTGCCTGCTGGAAACCAACATGAAAGTGGTAGAYCTTCTTTTCATATGAACTGATAGGCATCTTTATTTCTTGCTGGCGGGTTTGGCAGCATTTCAATTTCTCCTTTTCAAAAGGATTTTCTTACCAATTYATTGGTCTTCTCACTGGTACATAAAATCTGTTGTTTCCCTCAGCTTCCTTTTTGCCCTGGCTGCTGGATATGGTGCTGGGGGCAAAGGCAGGTGTTCTCCAAGGGCTGTTCCCTACACCTGTACTGAAAAMCTGTTCCAGCACCTGCTTTTCAGTGAGGATCGCTGTCTTAGTGGCATTTGCTGTCGCTCTCTTGTCCTGATTCGTTATGCTTTGACCAGTTTTAGGAGACTGTGCTTGTGTGACAGCTTGGAGTAACCTGGTSCAGCCTCAGGGCTCGCTCTGCTTGATCAGAGTGACACCCTGAGCTCTCTCCTGACCTGATGTGTCTCTGATCCTGCAGAGATTAKGATTCTGCTGGTGTTCAGGAATAGCACAGGGCTCCCTTTACAGGTTCATGTATATTGAAGAAGTGGTGCATGTCTTCATTCCCTTTCTCCTCTTCCCTTTTTGGGAGGCACCCTCTGGCTCTCACAGCACATTTGTAGTTATGAGGATCTGAAATTTTGAAAGGGTTCTTAATACCCAACATAAACACATCTCTTTTTCTAAAGGCAGAAATACAGAATCAAAGTGAGCAGTGGRGTGTCACAGCACACAGTTGTCTGTKGGCAATGACTATTCCTGTTCTTTAGATAAAAGAAACTGCTGGGGTTTTCTGTGTTTTTCTTAAGCACTCAGAGGATAAAATCCTGTTTAGAATTTACTGAGCAAGGAGAACAGACTTTGTATTTGCTATAAAGCTGCTAAATAGACTTTTCAAAGGCTGTATRTCGTATTCAGAGGCAAAATACATGACACAATCTGCCATCACAAGTGTGGGAGCATATTTAAGTCTACCACAGCAGGCTTTTTATGTCTTGATATCACCTTTTCAGCTGAAYTCAGTTGGCTGCCTCTCAGCTGGGAGAAGCAGTGAGTGTGTCTGTGACTTTCTGTGCCTTTTCCATCTCCCTTAACAGAACTTTCACTTTTGACTCCTAAAAACCCAGCATACAACTGCTCTAACCAAGGGATGGAAATCTGGGAATGTCCAGCAGCCACGGGGAATGTTTGCTCTGTTTCCTGTCTCATTAAAGAGTGGATGCTATAACTGAGTTGCAGGTTGGATGTGTGCATGGAATGCACTGTCACCAATATCTTCATTAATTTTTATCTCATTAACTTCTCYACCACTTCATGCACTTCAGGAATGATGTCATGACCCTTTAAACAGCTATAAACTGCTTATGGTGCAGTCCACGTTTGCTCACCAGATTTCTTCACTCATCAGTCTTGTAATCAGATGTTACCTGTGTCTGTCTTGTTGGCTGTTTGACAGGAGGTACAAAGGGAAATTCTTAACTTGCTCCAAATGCTCTCAAACTGTGCTGCCATTAGTGAGAATATGCATCATCCTAGGATTGCTAATTGCTATTGGTGAAGCAGGGGTAACTTTTATGTAAGTCTGTGAAATAGTTAATTGCCTTTCTATATTAGAGTCTGAATAAATATTTTTAATTTGGGGGTTTATTCCTTTATTTTATTTTATTGCAATGCATCATAACAAAACATAACCATAACAAATCATCATTCACCGGATTCTTCTACTCAAATGGCTCCTGGCAGGGGTTTTACACTGGGCAAACTAATCAAGACAAATAAAAACATCTACTGATCTTTTTTCCTCCAGATTTACCATGGTGGCTCCTTCTAATTCGTCAGAAAGCATTGATTGGCAAACTTCCAGGAGATCATGAGGTCTGCAAAATAACGAAGATTGCAGTGATTCCACTTTCTGAGACAGAACCTCAGGATCTGGAATTGGAGGTATGGCTGTTCTCAAGGAGTTCTGACTTTTCCTCTCCTGCTTCAKTGAAATAAAAATTAAGTGCCTCTTATCTCTTTTTCCTTGTATAAGCAGACATTTTGAGCATTTTATGCTTTTTAAAATACAGTTTTTTTTTTATTTAAGGTGTTTTTAAACAGAAATCACAAATTCTGCTAGGGAGGGAAATTGCAACAAAATACCTAAATTTCATAAAGATCACTGAGAATACCACACAAGAACAAGATTTATTGAACTAGGAGAAAGCATATATTTTTTAATGGTTTCTCTTGCTTTCATCCCATTTTGGAATCTTCATTCTGTAATCTGGCTTGAAGGGAAATCCTTACTTCAAATTTTGCACTTTTTCCCCCAAAAGAGAATGGTTAAAGGAYCAAAAATATAAATGAGTAATGCAAATTTAATTTGGGTGGGAAGTTGAAGTGGGTCTGGGTATCCAAGTCATGTCAAAGTGAGGCAGAGGTTCTCACAGTTACAGGAGAAAATGCCTTTTATAAAAAAGAGTGAGAATTAGGCTTTAGATGGAAACCTACATGTTCCCTCTATATTTCAGTGTCTCCGCTAAGTTTGTGGACATCAAAATCTTGCTTTTGTAGATTTTTAAGTTTTCTTTGAACTTTTTAGAGTATTTAAATGTTGGCTTTAATTCAATGTCATTATTTTAGCTTTGTAAAAAGCACCATTTTGGGATAAACAAGCCAGAGAAGATAACACAGTCCCCAGATGATACAAAATTTCTGCTGAAGACTCTTACTCAAATTAAATCCAATGTGTCTGCTCCAAATAAAAAGAAGGTAAAGTTTTCTACTGTTTTCATGGGTTTTTTTTTTTTTTTCCAAAATGTTTAGTTTGTAATTCCAAGGTTGTGATAGATTATCAAATGGAATATTAAGACCTTAAAAAATACGCAGTAAAAAACTACAGAATGTGGAACTACTGTCCTGGTGCTCAGTTTAATTTTTTTGGTTATTTAGCTGTGATTTTTCTTTCTGTAATTACACAATATTGGCAGAACTGCTGATAGAGTTCTTTTTTACCACACTGGAAGGGGATTAGCTACTAGTGAGGTTCTAAACTTCTAGAAATTGCTCTGCGTAAATATCTCTTATAATATAGAATTGGACACAAAATTTAGTGCCTGGTTCCTCAGAGAACACCATTCAATCTGAGCTAAATGCTTTTAACATAATAATGGCTTGAATTAGGAAGTCAAAACAATAGTTACTAAAATTAAAATTGTGTTTCTGAGGCTGSTGCCTCTCGTGTTTATCTGTGCTTGGAATTTTAAGGTCCTGCTCATCACTGGGAAAGTGTTTGCCCTGCAAGGTTAGAAATGGAAAATATGGCTGGAGTTTTTTTCACTCACAGAGAGAGACATGACAGCAATTTTCTTTCAGATTAGAGAAAGCAAAGAGAAAGAGAGGCTGGAGAAGAGATTGTTGGAGGAGTTGTTCAAAATGTTYATGGATTCAGACTCCTTTTACTACAGCCTGAGCTATGACCTGACAAATTCTGTGCAGAGGCAGAGTGTGTGTGAGAAAACCAACTTACCCCTGTGGMGAAAAGTGAGTTGTTTTTATTTGTTATTTCCATTTGGGGGATGAGCTGTTCAGTAATGGTCATGGTCCAAGCCTGGCTGGSCACATTCTACAGCAGCTGAACCCCCTGTCCTGTGCCCAGCTCAGGTGCAAGGAAACAGAAATCTCCAGCAGCATGGCTTGAGCTGTTTTATTAAAATAAAACTTGTCTGTACGGTTGTAGTGGGTAAATTAATGAATATTGGTGTCCTTCCCACAGATACTGCCCAAACCCATCTTGTAATATTGCAAAAACAGCCCTTTTGTGTTTCAAACAGGTGGATGACAGATTCTTTTGGAACAAGCACATGATTGAAGATCTCATCAGTATCGATGTGAGTCTCATTTCTAACGTGTGTATTTATGAGCAATTCTTTAGTTTTAGGTGAAATGTTTACTCAAGGCCTAGTGGGAGTTTGATCAAAAAGCTGCTTGGCAGTCAGGTCAGGATCAGGGCTGTGCCTTCTGTGGCTGGGAGCTGGCACTGCCTGCTTCCCCCAGCCAGCCTTCCAGTCAGCCTGTGATCTTTAACTGCAGCTGAATTAAAATATTCATTATAATGAAGCAACGTTGAATAACTCAGTGTGATATGTTTGTGCTGATTTCTGAAGGTGAATTTGAGTTTATTCTTATGTGAAATGGCTTATCCCTGAGCACTGCTGAATTTGATAAAGAGGAACCAGAAAAGAAATAACCTCTGAATTCCAAAGTTTCCTTGAGATAAGATTTTGGTCCTCTATAGTGGGGAATAATAATTTTTCTCCTTGAACATAGTAGCTGATCAGTGTATAGACAATGCAGAACAAATTGTTCTGAACAGCTGTTCAGAATAAATAAAACACTTTCCTGGCTAATGAGCACATAAAGAAGCAGAGAGCCACCACCTTTTCTTCAGTGTATGATCTTCCATCATTTTAAGTTGACGTTGTAGATCAAGGACTCTTACTAACTACTCAGTATGTGGTTACTAACTACTCAGCATACCAGTTTAGGCTAAGTCTTATTTTCTTTAAAGATGACAGCAGACATCTTACCTYATGCTCTGCATCTCTGTCATTAATAATTATATAAAACCAAAAGGCTATGGAGACACAGCAGGGTAAACCCATGTCCTCTGTGAAAAGCTGTGTATAATGCAGGAGCTTAAAGAGTTGTATTTTTCATGTTATAAGATATAAATGGTTGATCTTGAATTAGTGGGGAATTTGGATCTCGATTCTGTTTAAGAAATTAATGTTTTAGGGTGCAGACCCCTGAACCAGTTTTGGGGACTAAGGTAGCTTGTATGATAACATCTGCCTTTCTGTGTACATGTGATACAGTATATGTCCACTCAGAGGTTTCAAAACTACCTTAAAGCAGAAACTTGGTAAAAAAGTTGCTTTCTTCTTGGCTTAAAAGCCCTCTGATTGATGCAGGAAAAATGCTGGTACCTCTTATAGAAATAAGGATATGGCCAAAATTAAAACATGAAAAGCATGTGAAGCAATCGTTTCCATAAACATGAGAAATGGCAGAAATAATTGTAGGGAATGTTGGACCAACGGGAAAGTCAATTTTTTTTTTTGCAACTCTCAGAATGCCGAAGTGGACTTCTGGATAATACCCATCATTCAGGGATTTGTGCAAATTGAAGAACTTGTGGTAAACTACAATGAATCTTCTGATGATGATAAGAGCAGTCCTGAAACTCCTCCTCAGGAATCCTCTTGTGTAGATGACATCCATCCAACATTCCTGGTGGCACTCATCTCACGCCGGAGTCGGCACAGAGCTGGTAGGCAAACTCAGTTCAGGTGCTGGGGTTGTTTGTGAGCTCTGGAGAGGGGTGCAGATGGTTGAACTGGAGAGTTCTGTGCTGTTCAGCAGATGGTCAGCCCCTGTCAGAGTGCAGGCAGCTTTCCCTGCTGGGAGGGAGAGGAGAGGAGAGGCTGCAATGCCTGTGACACCGCGCAGCTGTCACTGGGGGTGGCTGCTAAGTGAGCATCACTGGTCTGCTCAGGAGCACTGAATGCATCCTTGGAGGCAAAGTTCCATTTTTGCAGAGATCCCCTTGAATAGGACMTTGCTTACAGCTCTAAACTGATACATTTCAGCAGGCTTGGACCTGAGTTAAATTGTCAAAGGTCTTCCTTTGAGGGCTTTGACAGCAGCTGAAGGGATTTGAAGAGCCATGTGTGTGCATGCCCGTGTCCCAGGAGTGTTTGTCAGGGGCAAGGTGTGAAATAAGAGTGCTTTGCTCTTGCACCTTGTTTAACTTGGAGCAGCAGGGCAATCAGAAATTATTCCCTGCCCTTCAGATCTTAGAAAGAACAATTGAATCACTTTACAGCTTAATAGGTCCTGCTCAACTCTAGGCTTTTCCATCTGTCTGATTTTTATGAAGACACTCTCCAATGTCTCCAGGTCCTTTCTTATGCAGGTTTATAACATGTTAAAAAACACAAGAAAAAGACTTGGTGAGCCTGCCCTGGTGTAGGACTGTGCCTTTGTACCACAGCTCACTTTGATGCACTTAATTTGGTTCCCAGGAAAATAGTTTGGCAGAACAACTTGGAGTAAATACTTGAGGGTTTGACAGTAGTGTCTAGTTTGCAGTCTGCCTTTTTAATAGTAAATTAAAATTACACTGTTACACAATGACTGAATTGCAGAGGGAAAATTTCTTATTGATTCCTTCTTACTGTTGGTATCACTTTGCTCATCTGATTGCTACTCCAGAGCATAAACTGTGTGGAATTTYCCCCATCTGATTAAAGGCTGTAAAGCTGCTTTGACAATTTGCTTGTAAAATTCCCTATTGCAGATATTTTACATTCCTTTCCTTTCCCTACTTCTAACCTCTTCCCTTCTGTGCTGTCAAGGTTCAGATCAGAAGTCTGGTTTGGTGCTGCTTCGGGACTTGGAACTGAATTTCCATGACCTTGAATATTTTTCCAACCCTCTTATTCCTTCCCTGTGCTTTGCTACCACCTGCATCCTCTCTGAAATAGTGATGTACTCTCCTTTGAGTCAAGGATGTGCAAACACTTCTCTGTTTAATGAGCAGATCAGAGCTGGGTAGGCATAAAACYGTAGTCAGAGCAGCATTATCTCTTCTTAATGTGCAGAATTAGTCACACAGGCTGAAACAAGAARGGGAAGTCTTCTATTTTGTGGAACRTGCAAATCTTTTTGGGCTGCTTGTGGGATCTCTGTGAGAAGTGAAGCCTTTGTCAGTAAAAATGGCCTTTGGGTTCATGGAAAATACTGAGTGCTAAAGTAAAACTTTCTGCTATATGTGACAGAACAGGAGGAAATTTTCAAGATAGACCAGAAGTTTTTGTTACTTTAAACTGCCTTGCTCTGTCAGCTTCCTTTCTGCTGCTCATAATGGATCAGTAAATAAACCTTATCCATGTAGTCAAAATAACTTGGGGAATAAAGCAGGCTGGGAATGACTTCTGCCATTGATCATAGATTTTGGCCAGAACTGTTGTGTCGTGTTAGCAAAAACAGCAACAAAAATAATGAACATTTAAGACAAATACTTAAGGATGACTCAATCATTCTTGTTCCCCACAGGAATGCGGTATAAGCGGAGAGGTGTTGATAAAAATGGAAATGTGGCAAATTATGTTGAGACAGAGCAACTGATCCATGTCCATAATCACACCCTTTCCTATATCCAAACACGAGGCTCTGTGCCTGTTTTCTGGAGCCAAGTTGGATACAGATATAACCCAMGGCCCCGGCTGGACAAGAGTGAGTATTTGGGTGGAAAACCTAAAAATCAGGGTTCCCTTGGAAATCCACTTTTGGAAGAGGTGTTTATGTGGATGTGTGGTGCAAATGTAGAAGGATTAAGCAGGTTTATTCAAAGTTAAATTTTGTCCCATGTCCTCTTCACAAGAAGCCAACCACAGCAAAATTCAAGAATGTTTTTGCTGTACACCAGAGTGCTACAACAATGTTGAAGCTGAGCACATTAATGAAAGACCTTTGAAAGTMATTTTGTATAATGTATTATTATCTTTAAGCTAAGCTGTCTTCATTTTTTTAGAGCACAAATTTAGGCATGATTTAATACATCAAACAGAACTTACTGCTGAACAGGCTGTTTCTGTCTAACACTGTTCTGCCTTGTAGGTGAAAATGAAACCGTGCCTTGTTTTCGTGCACACTTTGAAGAACAGCTGAAAAATTACAAAAAGCAGGTGAGTGCTACATGACACAACAGTAATCTCATGAAAATGCAGGGGTTGATGGTTAATGCTTTTAGTTTGTTTTTCTTGGTGCTGTGGGTTGGTTTAGAAGTTTGTTGACAATTGGAAGGTTGATAAATAAATGGAATTTTACTTTCGATTTTTCAAATATCCTTGTAACCAGTAAAACCCAGGAATAACTTATGGAAATGCGTAAACCCTATTTCTATGTACCTGTCCTGTGCATTCAGAGCTTCTCTGAATTTAATTCTAATAAAATTTAAAAAAATCTTAATGAATTTGTTTAGGCAGGGAACTATTGGAGCTTATTTTAGGTACAATCTAGCAAAGATTATAACTTCACCAAGATTGCTACAAATCTTTAACTGTTGAGCTATTTGTTACTGCATGGTGTGTGTCTAAGCAAGTTGTGCAGCAGATGATGAGTGTTAAATAATTAAACTTTTGGACAGGTTATTATTAACTTGGTGGATCAGACAGGCAGAGAGAAGATTATTGGAGATGCTTACCTTAAACAAGTTCTTCTCTACAACAATGCAAATCTGACTTATGTTTCATTTGACTTCCATGAGCACTGGTAAGAAACCTTTAAAAATGTCACTTTGCATCTATTTTATGAGCATGAAAGGCAAGTATAAGGGAGGAGAAAACCCATTGTTATTTCTCCTTCTTCATGAAACACTCTTCTTTTGAACAAGAATACATTTTTTAAACTAAAGCAYTATAAAGCTTTAAGTTTGGGTAACCAAGCACTGCTGTTTGTGATCTTGTGTYCCTGACCTGTGGAATTTGCAGTTACTTATTGGGCAAAATTTAATTGTCACACATTTAAAAGTTTCCCTAAACATGCCWTGAATGTAAAGCTGTGGCTGACCTGCTTTTTCAAGCTATGTAGAATTTTGCTTTTAATTCTACTTCTGTTTCTCTTGCTTATTTCTATAAAAACATGATGGGTTCTTTCAGGACCCTGATGCTGTTATCTCAATATAAAATACACTGGATTTTATTTTAATCCAGTGTGAGCAGTTGCTGTTTTCATGACTCCTCTCTGATGCCCTAGKGCAGTTCTCACGTGCCTCATCTGTCACAGACATTATTTCTCCTGCTCCCCTCGAGCAGGCTGCATTTCTGTGACACTCAATACAGCATCTAAACTGGTTTAATCTTCATTTCCAAACTTAATCTCAGGATTGCAGCTGGCCTGGGAGAGCATTACTGACTGACTGAGTATGGCATTAGTAGATATTGTCAGAGGAGGTGGTGGGAAGGGAAAACCCCTCAGAATAATAATGGCCTTTGAGAGGACTGTTGGCACCCTGGCTTGATTTGTTTTTTAATCTTTTGTTTAGAGGAATTTTCATTTTCCTTGATTCACTTTTCTGCTATGTACAGTCGCAGTGACCGAGCAAAAGTCTTCTTTTTGCATTGTGAGCAGCAGTGAATTGAGAACACTCCTGAAAAATAACCTGATAGGGTAGGGGAAGGAAGGGGTGATGTGTTTTAGGGGTCTTTTTTCTGTACAATGACTGGCAAAGCAGGACTCACCATCCCAGTTCCAAATCGACAGTAGTTACTTTTCTTGAGACTAAAATGAGAGCAGAGTGTTGCACATGCCTGAATAGCCTCACACCTATTCTTCCTTTTGGAAGCAGCATTAAAAATGCAAATCCTTGAGAATTTTGTGATCTTTTAACCTCTTGCCTTGGATTTGGACATTGGACTGTACTGTAAAATAGTTCTGAATGTTGGCTCCTGTTTAAAGCTCATTGCAGGRGAGAAAGCTTTTCTCTCTCATTTAGCCAAAACACTGTCTTTACTTAAAAACTTTATCCTATTTGTAACGTTAACAAAGTCACTGCTCTTGATCAAACTAACTTTTGTGAACTTCTGTGTTTTAGCAGAGGAATGAAGTTTGAAAATGTTCAAACACTGACTGATGCCATTCATGATATTATTCTTGACATGAAGTGGTGCTGGTAGGTACTTCACTGTTTTTWCACTCATAGAAAACATCTGTAGAGAAAATCTCCAGCAAAGAGTAGATATTCAGAGGCCTTAATTTTCTCCTAGCCAGTATGTTTTATATTTCTTTCTTGGTGTCCAGAGCTTTTGTGCTGTGAAGTGTTGGTGTTCTACTCATGTCACAGCTAAAATTTCTCAGTTGACRTTTCCTGCCTGAGGTTTACCACATKTAACACTTTTAGGKTGACTCACATTTGATGGGAAACACTTTATATTTGACCCAATGGCAGCCTTATTTCTGACACCAAGCAGGCACGTTTGACCTTTGGTTTGAACTGATTAAAGTTCATATATTTGGGTRAAGTGTGGCTGCAGCCTCAGTCCATCTCTCTGTATYGTTCTGCATTGCTGCCATTATTATTGGCTGCTCTGTTSTTGAAATTAAAGGCCTTTTCTCTCCAAAGCTTGTATTATSCATGAGTTGAATTCAGCATCTGATTGCATCTCAAGTTTGTGGCCCCAGCAGGATTTGTGTGAAATCCAGCCCAGATTAAAGAGGAGGATAAATTGGAATAGGAGTTAATTCAGAGTGTGGTGTGGTTGGGGTGCTGAGTGCAACCATAAATAGTGCTCCACGTGTAAAATATTCTGCTGTTCATAGAAACTGATGAATTACACTGGGTTTTAAGGGTCTCAGTATGCTTTTGTTCTCTTCCTGTTGAAAGGGTTGACCAAGCTGGAGTGATCTGTAAACAGGAAGGAATTTTCCGGGTTAACTGCATGGACTGCCTGGATCGGACCAACGTTGTGCAGGCTGCTATTGCCAGAGTGGTCATGGAGCAGCAGGCACGTATCACTCAGGGGCTKGGTCAAGTGCTGAGTGCCTCAGAGCTTAATTGGTGTTCACAGAAAAATCTGTGTGCTTGAAAAATGCTAAATGAACCTCTGCTGAAAGGAATCTGTGAAAGACTTGAAAAGCCGTGAAGCTGAGAGGAATAATATGTACAAATGCAAARCTTGAAATGGTTATAGAACAGTGATGTCTCCTTCAGTCCTTCAGAAACGACTGACTCCACATCTTGGAAAGATTGTCTTGTTTGGATTTTGCAATTTCAGTTTAAGTTATGTAGGAAATACAGATTTTAGAAACAAAACACCTTCATCCCAAGTCCCTCACTGAAATGATGTTAAACCTGACTAGAAGCTGGGTGCTATTTTAGGTGCTCTGAAGTGAAATGCTGTGATGCAGCAARTAGGGAGATTAGTTGTCCCTTCTGTGTGTAAAGGAGTAATTAATTCATGATGTCAATTGTCCTGATGGCTGTGGCTGTTGTGCTGTGAGCTCTCCCTGTACAGGGAAGGGATTTCCAGGCAGATTGAGAGTATTTCCCTTCAATTCTCCTCTTTGCTCTGGCCCTCATTTGCTTTTTGCTTTGGAAGCCCAGTGATGACTCTTCCCTTGTGAAGATTGCACTGACCCAGGACTGCTACAAACAAAATACAGATTTGTGTCCTGTGACTGGAACTTCAAAGCCCCAGCCACAGCCCAAAAWGAGCAATCTGATTATGTTTAAAGTGAAGCAGAAAGGATGAAGTGGGTCCTTCATGAAGGTGAAAAGTGAATGGCTCTGACCATTGTGTCTGGCAGTTCCCCTTTGTCATCTGCTGTTATGAGCTCCTGACATAGAGGGAGTGCTGGGGACAAGAGGAGGGATCAGCAGCCCCACAGTCATTATTTTAGAACAGGATTTCTATCCAGGGTAACTCTTGAGTTCCAAGGCAATTCTTCCAAAATGAAGAGTGTTACAGATTGTTGTGARGAGGCTTCAGTAATCATTGCTGAAGGATTAGCTTGTGATGTGCTGCATCATTCTCAGATTGCAGCTGAAGCAYTTGGGGATCAGTTCATGGCTGAGAAATGCCCAGAGCACCGCAGGGTGAATGAGATGGAGTGAGGAACTGAGAGATCATGTACCTCACACTTCTCTTCCTTGGAACCACAGCACCTCTGTCTCTGACTGCTCTCTGTCWCCTGGAAACCTGAGAGGGCTTTCAGAGTTAATGAGCAACTCTGTGTTAATTTGCAGTTAACTTGCAAAGAGTGCTTGACCATTTGGTTTTGGCTGTAAATTGAGGTTTGCCTGTGATTTATTCCAAGTTATYCCTATCATTTAGTGATTTATTTGCAGTTATGTATGTGCTGCTCTATAAACTCAGTGTGTACAAAGCCTGATGTTGGTATTGTACCCGAGGCTTATCTGGGGAAAGCTGAGGGACTGGCTGTTCCAAGAGGGAGATATCTTACTTTAGTATCAGTGTCAAACAGTAACTGTCCAAAATGTGCAGGCACTAATAATAAACCAATGTAAGTTATTTTTCTTTGTTTTCAGACCCTTGAGGTCATGAATGTCTTTGCAATAGAAGACATATTAACTTGTTTATTTTAAAATTCTGTGATGTCCTTTTTTTGATGATTCTCTATTAAAATTTCCTCTATCTTGAGAATCTACAGTAACTAGTTTTCCTTCAGCTAATTTTTTTTGATGATTGACTTAACGTCCATAATTAATGTTACTGCTGCCTTCAGTGACATGATGTTTAGCAGTAAATCACCAATTCATTAATTTAATCTGACAAATTAGCACAATGGCTTCCTTTCCCCCATCATACAAAATCTAACAATTAAAACACTTGGCGAGCACCTCCATTTTCTGTACCAAGCTCTGATATTGAGAATGACTTTTACCATGGGCATTGAATTAACTCATATATCAACTTTCAGCTCAAAAAACTGGGTGTGATGCCACCAGAGCAGCCCCTGCCAGTGAAATGCAACAGRATCTACCAGATCATGTGGGCCAACAACGGCGATGCCATCAGCCGGCAGTACGCGGGCACGGCTGCCCTGAAGGTGAGGGGACATTGCCTTCAGCAATGCCTTGTGTGCATTGGAAAACCCTGGGATCTGTAAAAGATATTCTCACCAGATATTCYTGTATGGTTTTGTTTTGGAGAGATGAGGGTTTGCAGTGAAAGAATATTTAGGGTCGCACGTGGTGTGGATGGGAGAAGAGCTGAGTGCACCTTGCTCTTTGACTTTTCTGTTCCCTTCAGCTCTGGTAAAAGCACAGCTGAGATAAAAGTTTGAGGGATATTTTAAATATTATCTCCATYCAAATTTTAGCAGTTTGTTATAGTACTTCTAAGCAGTTACAGTACTTTAAAAATAYTCTGAAGGTCTGCAGATCAGGCTATGCAGGTAGTAGGATGGTATTCATTATTTACCTTAATTAGGTGTAATGCATTCTGTATGCCAAGATCAAGCATGAAACTCCTTGCCCTTGTACTTCTACTGCTTTGAAAAGTTAAATTTGAGGTACTTGCTGCATGGATCTTGTGAAACAAATTTCATTATTCTTGGTATYTGGCATAAGAAAAATCATTATGATGGAAAACCTTAAGACTTAAATCTCTCTTTAAGTATCTCTGCTGAGCTTAGATTAGTTGATTGCATTAATATTTTTTTTWAAATGATAAARACCMCCCTGACATGCTTGTTTTTATTGAGTATATCTAACTTTAAACCTGAAGCACAACCCTCATTTTCTAAATCTAAATTTTCAGGCCTTTTGCTTGAAGGTCTCTCTGTTTGCTATTGAGCTATTTTAATTGTGGTATTTCTTTTAATTTGAAAGTGAAACACACTTGAAATGTTCTTCATAGGAGTTGATGTGGCTTTTAGAACTGCTGTGAGCCAGTGTTCAGAGTGGCTCTGAAAATAGAATCCTCTAATGAAGTGTAACTACCAAAACAGCTTTTTATTCAAATTCTAAGCCTTCCTTGGCCTAGAAACTTCCTTTTGTTTCTGAGGTTGTGAGGATATGTGCTGCTTTCCCTCAGTATGTTATGCTTGTCTTGTTTTGGTAGCAAAAGTAGAGAAGATGAAAACCATTTTTCAGTAAGCTTCGGTCTTTTCTATTGTTCCAGTAGTGTTCCTTTTACATTAAAGGCCCAAAAATAAAGGGACTTTTTTTTCTGAGTTATTGAAGCATCACAGTGATTGATGTCTTGAAAGTCCTGCATCAGTGTTAGCTGGCTTATTTGTCCAGATTTGTTTTCTCTTGGAACTTCATACAGAAATTGTAAGTCTGTCAAGAACATAGGATTCTGTGCAGAGTCAAACAATGCCAGCAGATCCTCTTTGAAAAAATCAGTATTTTCAACTTCTACGTGAAATAGTTACTTGAAGATAATTCCTGAGTTGCCATCTATTCAGTTCTGAGTTTCAGAATGCCAGATCTTTTGGGCTGAGTCTTCTGCTCCCAAGTTTCCTATTTTGCATGGTTTGCATGTTCTGTGTGACAGGGTGACTTCACAAGGACGGGTGAAAGAAAACTGGCRGGGGTGATGAAGGATGGGGTGAACTCTGCAAACAGATACTACTTGAATCGTTTCAGGGATGCTTACAGGCAAGCTGTCATAGGTAAGAGCACAATTTTAACAAGGCTGAACTATGCTATTTAAAAATATTAAATCATATTGCTTTCTTCTTTCTGTCTGGTTTTATTTTTTTTCCTATTGCTTAAAATCACCTTGAGTGTGTAATATATTAATSTMCTGTAYTGGTCACCATAATGAACAGTCTTAYTCACTCTGAAATTTAAGYAATACTCAATTTAGAGGGATTGCATGCACTGTGACTCATTGCAGCATTTGCCCCAGCTTTGTTTTCGTATTAAATGTCTTGTAGCATCTCTTAGACAAAGTTAAACTTATGTAGCAACTATCTCTTGAAATAATGAGGAACTCTTTGTTTTTCACTGAAAATCGGATTATACCTACTGAGTTTTCTGTTTCGGGCAACATTCTATTCAAAAAGACTACCAACAGTATCACTAAAATGCAACATTTAGAAGGAATTTACAAACTATTGCYGTGTATCACTTTTAACTGTTTCTTTGTTGTTTTCTGGGATTTTTTTAGATTTGATGCAGGGTATCCCCGTGACAGAGGACCTGTACTCAATATTTACAAAAGAGAAGGAGCACGAAGCCCTGCACAAGGAGAACCTGAGGAGCCACCAGGAATTGATCAGCCAGCTGCTGCAGAGCTACATGAAACTGCTCTTACCAGATGATGAAAAATTCCATGGAGGCTGGGCACTCATTGACTGTGATCCAAGGTTTGTTCCACAAAGTTAAAAGTGATCAGCTGCTACTTGGACAGGTCTGTTAAAAGGTTTTTGATAGCAGATGAGTGAACAGAAAACAAGTGGAAAGTTCTGTAGAAGGACAAGAATCCTTGAAGGGTTTGAATACTTGTAAAAGGAAAGGTCCTCTAAATGTGCCATAAAAATGGATCATGCTGGAATTACCTTTGAGACATCATTTGGAAATGGATGCATTTGGCTAATATTGCCAAAATACAGCAGGGACCATGGACAGAACTTGTGGAACTGAAGGGGGATAAAAGGAACTGTTTGAGGGGCTGTGGTTCCTTATTGCTTTATAGGGAAAGTGTAACTTGACTGGTCAGGTTAAATCCTTGGTTAATGAGTCAGCAGTAGGAAAGTCTGGATTTCTCTTCATGGAAAGTAGTGGCATAAACTCTGAACTTCACTCCTTATCAAGTTCAGAGTTCACTTGTAASAGAAAAATAGTGGCTACATCTCCTGCAGGTTAAACTTCAGCAGCTAAAAATAGCAAAGCAGGTTGTTCTGACAGCTATTCAGGGCACAGACTCATCGCCCTCACTGAGTCTGAGGTATTTTTCCATTTCTCTGGTAGCATTTTTAATAGCTTGTGGGCTTTCTGTTTATTTTTGGACCTTCTGCTGACGTATTTGAGCTGTTAGGTAACGTCAGGTTTGAGAGGCTGTTGCTTGCATGGATCCATTTGATAATAACRGGGATTGAAATTTCTTGTAACTCATGTTCAGCTCTAAAAGTCAAAAACACACTGGGCATGGGTTACAGCTCTGCAAATAAAACCTTCTACCTTCTATTTTTCTTCTTTTCAGTCTCATTGATGCCACTCATAAGGATGTGGATGTGCTGCTTTTACTTTCAAATTCTGCCTACTATGTGGCCTAGTAAGTTACCACTTTCYCCTACTGTGTGTAGTTTATTTTAGTAGCTGTGTTTTGGATTAGTAGGAAGCAATAAATTCTATTTCTTTTTTCCAGCTAYGATGATGAAATCGACAAAGTGAATCAGTACCAAAGGTTAAGTCTTGAAGCTCTGGAAAAAATAGAAATAGGTAAGAAAACAGTCACTCCGTGTGGTTTTTTTTTTTTTTTTTGAATGCTCTTAACATTGGTTTGAGCACTTATCAAAGCATCCCACAAATGAATTGAAGCAGCAGCCCTTGATGTGTGACACTTACCCTGAACTAGAAATGGCCCTTCTGGCTGAAAACAGATGCCAGGCTCTTCATGCTGCTGGAAATGGAAGCTTTGGTCACTGGAAGAGTTCTAAAATTTTCCCACTTTCAAACTCTTAAAAGAACCATGGAGTCATCCAGAAAGATTCCATTATTTATCAAAGGGCAGTAACAATCTGATCAACTTCTGTAACAAGTTGTGGGTTTATGCATTCAGTGCTCTCTTCCTTTGATCCAAACACAGCAGCTGGCTCAGAATTGTACTTTAGGTCTGTTCCAGAGCTTTGTAAAACTTCTTTCTCCAGGGCTGATAATAAACATGCTATTACAAAAGGACCTTGTTATGCTGATTTAACTTATTGGCTATAGAATGTAACATCTGCAGGCTAAATCCAGCATTTCCTGCTGCAAGCATTAAGGATGTGATGCCTCTGAATCATGAAAAAGGTGATCCAGTTGGAGAGAAGGGAGTGTGTGGCCCCCGATGGAGTTTAATCCTCCATTACTCAATACACAGTGATTTCATCATCTCCTCACTGTAACTTTCACTGTCTCTGCAATTTCTAAGAGTCCAGTGGAAAGATTTTCCTCACTTGAGTGTTGAAGAGATTTGTGTCCTGAGGTGCAAAACAGAGTTGAAATATTTACATCTACACCTCATTTAATGCTATGGATTATGCAGTGCACTGAAGAGATGAAGTGCTTGGTCTAAATCTTGAAACTTAAATTACCTCCTCTTGGTAACAATGTATTTGCATTCCCCTTAATCCTTATGGGAGCATTCCCTAAAAACCCCCCTGGATGTAAACATTTTCTCTTCTATTTGATAGAGTGATCTGTAATAACAATCAGGGTTGATTGTTGTAGACATACAGAGTCTAACTGGTTTTTGTAAGTTATTGATTGTTTAGTTAGTGTGAAAATCTTTCATTTAAAGTGTCTATCCTGCTCTAATGAAAACATGAAGCCTTTTAGGCTGAAAACGTCTGTCAGCACTTACATACTTTTAGGAACAGAGTCTGCAGTACCTCTTTCAGTGTTTGGTTAAAGATTTCTCATCTCCTGGTTTCTCTCTCAGGGCCTGAGCCTACCCTCTTTGGCAAACCCAAATTTTCTTGCATGAGGCTGCATTACAAATACAAAGAAATGAGTGGATATTTCCACACCCTCAGAGCTGTGGTTCGCAGCCCAGAAGAAGATGGAAAAGGTTTGTTTCCCATGCAAAGGTTTTAGATATAAAAGTGTATTCAGTGTATCAGTGTTTCTCTAAAATATTTTATTCCATTGCTTTTAAAATTTATCCTTCTGCAGAAGTTATTCTGAWATAATCCAGTTCTGTGAAATGGGCAAACAATTTTGAAAAAAAACTCAGATGTTACTGCTTTAATAGAAAGAAAAGTAAGTTTCAGATACAGCTTTAAAACAACATTTCTCTCTAGAACTGGAGTAATTTCACTGTCCAGGTCTTTACTGCTCCAAAAACTAATAAAATGAAGTTAAAATTGGCTCCTAAAGAGGTAAAGAAATTGATTTCTTCAGTGAAATCAATGTCTGAATATGTTCTGCTTGTGGTTTAACTAGATTAAATGAACACTAGGAAGAGAAAAAAATAGCACTTCATACCTGGAGCACTGAGTTTTGTCAACAAGGATTAGAATAAATAACATTGCTTTTCTTCCTTCCCCAAATGRAGCAGCATGGCAGTGATTCACTTAATGCTGAGTATTTAGGGCTGAAGGAGAGTTTATATTTTAGGCTTGTTTTGTAAGCTTTAAATCAGAATTTCAACTTGTAGGGCACAACTGTTCTGGGGGGTGAAAGAAAAAAAAACAAAACAACCCAATAAAACCAAACACACTTGATTATGTTAAAATTAGGCCAGTTTTTTTTTTTTGTGGAATATGGGCTTTTAAGGGTGTTTTTAAGAGTCTGACAGGCTGCTGCTTGGATTTCAGACACTCTTCAGTGCATTGCAGAAATGCTGAGRATCACAAAGCAAGCAATGGGAATGGATGTGCCCATTATTGAGAAGAAGCTGGAGAGGTGAGTACCTAAATGATGGCAACCTTCTGTATTCATTCCACTGTTGCTCTCAACTCAGCTGCTTTTCCCAGCTGAGTAGAAAGTGTAGCAAAAAAAAAAATCTTGTTCTTTTTTACAGGTGTTGCAAACTAAATATTTGCTAAATCTGGTTATTGAGTACAGCATACACAATGTCAGGGTTACAAAAATGGAGAATTCAAATCTTCTCTTATCTAAAACCAAAGTGCCTGCAGAAACTGCCTGTTCCCCTTGTTTGGCTGCTGTTCTGTATCAACCCTTCTTTGTTTTTGTTGGTTTGAGCTTGATTAGCTTATATGGGTACAATTTTATTATGTAAGGAAAGGATTAAATKTATTATTCATGTAAGGAGAGGGTAATTTAGTAACTAAAATGCCCATTTCTGTTATGGAAATAGACCGTAAGTGAATACTCAGTGCTTTGATTGTACATTAAAGATAAAATTTTTTTCTTCTAGGAGGAGCAGCAAACCTCATGAAGATATCATCGGCATTCGGTCTCAGAACAGAGGGTCCCTGGCCCAAGGCAAGAATTATTTACTGAGCAAGTTCTCCTCTCTCAATCAAAAGGTGAAACAAACCAAATCCAACGTAAACATGAGCAACCTTCGGAAGCTAGGCAACTTGGCCAAAACTGAAGTGAAAGTCAATTTTTTGAAGCCAAATTTGAAAGTTAATCTTTGGAAATCAGACAGCAGCCTTGAAACTCTGGAGAATCCCGGGGTAGATCCTAAAGCTGCCAGCGAATCTGACACAGAAGGCTCAGATAACGACTCATTCCACTCGGACGATTTCCTGACTAACTCCAAATCGGATGAGGACACCCAGCTGACGGATTCCCTGGAGAACATTGGCCCCACAGACTATGTGCTGCCCAGCTGTGGCATCATCGCCTCGGCTCCGCGGCTGGGCAGCCGCTCGCAGTCCGTCAGCAGCACCGACATGAGCCTGAGCATCGCCGTGCCGCCCGAGGGACCCRAGTGCCAGGACGTGGCCATGCCTTCTGCTGACAGTGCTGAGCTGCAGTTTGCTAAGCCTGTGGATGTGTACTGCCAGAGGTTCGTGCAGGATGCCCAGAGCAAGGTGTCTGAGGTTTTGGAGCCTGAGGCTGGTTCTCAGGAGCCCCATCACACACCGATCCAAACCAGCAGTAACGCAGCCAAGAAGGCAGAACCCAAGGCTGAAGCTGTTGCAGACGTTCCTTCCCGGCCRTCTAAGCTGGATGTTCAATCTTCTGAGCCAAATCCGCAGCTCTTGGCTGTTGGTGGGCCTGACTWTGGTAAATCCCACAAAAGCCCGGGATCTGTGTCTGGGAACCACGAGCCAGGACTCCACACGACTCCTTCCCCCGCTGACGGCAGCAGCAGCAGAGCCGTGTCTCCCTTTGCTAAAATCCGCAGCTCCATGGTCCAGGTTGCCAACATCACCCAGGCAGGATTGACTCAAGGGATTAATTTTGCTGTGGCAAAGGTCCAGAAGAGCCCGGCGGAACCAGAAGCTTTAAATGAAATCAAACAGAAAGAACTGAGAGAAATGTTTACGCAATGCCAGACACGAATAATTCAGATCTAGCGGCTAATTTGGGAAATGTTCTTCCAGCTGTGGCTTCTAATAAAATAATGCAGTGACATCAGGACTATTGTGGCATGAACTGCTGCTGGATACTGGGATTGATAGAGGTAACTTGTTTACAGGCAGTGAGAGATGCAAACAAATTTGGTTCTGACCAAGCTTCAGAATTCCCTCAGGCAGGTGAGACAGAACCTGTATAAAAACCATATTTAAACAGGTAGCTTAGACACTGGGATTCAATAAGCATGCTGTCTATCTTAGATGTGTTGCACAGTTATTTTTTTGAGACTAATTTTGTAGCTCTTCTGAATTATGTAGAAAGTATTTATACTCAAAAGGTGATACTGCACTTCTCTGACCTTACTTACCTTGCACTACACCAGCAAAAATAAAGTACCGGTAAATGACATTTTATTTATTTTTGGAACTAGTATTTTTACTTGTTTTCACTGAAGTTCTAGATGCAGCTCTCGATGAATTGTGCCTCTACAATGGGAACCGATGTGTTTTTGTTGAATTTAAGTATGTTAATCAGAAAGTAAGAATTTTCTTTACTATCCTTTTTTTTCCAGACATCCTGGGACACTTYCATTATAGGTAAAGCTGAAAGACCCAATCTGAAATGTTCACAATCCTGCAGTGCAGATTTCTTCTGTAGATTGTTCTTTTTCCTCACTTTTTTTGAGGCGAGGGGAAATGAAGCAAATGCCTTTGAATTATTTTGCCTGTTAAAGCAATTCCTTTTTTTTTTTTTAAATTCTAAACTCAGCCAATTTGCTCTATTTTTTTTTTGTCTCTCTGTAAAGCAAGACAAGCCAGACACCTGCCCATCAGGCRCTGTGTCCCTCTGTGCTAGGATTCTCTTCTAATGTATCCTAACTGCCCAGATGCAAAATCCCAACTACCATCTGAAGCAGAAGGGCAGTGCACTGCTTTGTAAGATCAGTGTTGCATTAGAGCATAGCTGTCAGCATCTGTTCAAGACCAAATTCATGACCAACTCCAGCTTTGCTGGGAACTGGATCAAAAATACCCTTCTCTGTGTGTGTCAAAGGATTACAGCTATTAAATACTCTTTCCCAGGAATGCCTTGCCATGCCATGCTAGTCTAGGACATTGTCCAAAAGCTGCTGTGAAGMAGGACCTTCCTGTGCTGTGGTTTGTGACTATAACCACCCTGACAGACCCAGTGCCTCTGTCCTCGTCCCTGTCCTGTAGATAGGCTGCACGTGGTGTCCTCACAACGTCGTGTCCTGGGGTAGGGTAGCTCTGTGTCTTAGGACTTGTACTGTGTCTGAAATCATTTATCACCTAACCCTGATGGTCTGAAACTTTGATAAACAAATTTGGTTTATTTATTTTATTAAAGTGATGTGGGTTTGGGTTTTTTTGAGTGTCTACCTGTGGCTATATTTAAAATTAAACTACTGCTGTATTTTAATGTGAGCAATATACATGAGATATTTTTTTGTTTTTTTTTTTTGAGTGTCTACCTGTGGCTATATTTAAAATTAAACTACTGCTGTATTTTAATGTGAGCAATATACATGAGATATTTTAATAAAAAAAGTGGAATCAAAAGATGGGTTTGGTATGTGATGTTAAGGGATTTGGTACTCCAGGGCTGTGGGGGTTTGTTTCAGCGTTACAGATATTAAGATTCTCTGGCAGTCAAGGGATACTCTCATGACTTCAGTTTTCTCCTTTTAAAATGGTGCTGCTACAACTCTAAAATGCTTTTCTGGRCAACTTGTGCCAGGGTTTCACCACTCACAGGGAAGAATTTCTTCATATTTAATTTCAATCTGCCCTCTGTTAATTTGAAGTCATCACCTCTTGTCCTGTCCAGTGCTATGCTATCCTTACCTGTGAAATAGTGGAGATGGCAATGTGCACAAAACCATCCTCTGAGGCAATCTTACAACCAGCCCTGCATTCCAGCCCAAGCTGCCTTTTGAAGAGAGACTTCATTTCCTTCCTCTATTTGTTCAGTTTTTTTGCTTCACTTCACAGTAATGCAGCACAAGGCAGATGAAACCATGAATATTCATTGAATATTCATTTTTAGTGTTCAAAAAAAAAAAAAAGAAATAAGCTCTAAGTGATTTGAAATAGCATCACACTTGGCTCAAGTTTAGGATACACAAAAAATGTTTCTCATAAGAAGTGTGCAGAGACAAAATATCCAGATTGGCTGTACAGCGTAACCCCTTATATTTCAAATACAAAATGCAGTAGAAAAGGGGGTTCCTGTCCATGTGATTTCAATCATGAGACAGCACTAAGTAAAGGGGGGTCTGAGCTTAATGAAAATTTTCTTGTTCAGAACAGGATTAATTGAAGCAAACTCCTCAAAAAACTCACAAACATGGCTCCATCACCAGCTCCTGCAGGCTCTCCCTACACAGCCAGCCTCCCTGGATTACTCCCTGCATTTCACCATTTAAGCCACCCTTGGTAAACGAGTTCTGCACGTCCCAGTAGGGGCAGGATGTTCTCTGAGTACCAGCTCAAACTGTACAGCAGGAATCAGGTATTTACAGACCATTCTTAATGCTTCAATTACTATAACCCTTTAAACAACACCCTGCACTTCTGCTAAGGTGGAAAGAAATGGTATGTTTTGTATGAGCACATGAGTATCACTAACCCAGTCAATATGTTTTTTTTCCAAGGAGCTGTGCCAGAATAAAGCTCATTGGAGAAATCTGAGAAGTCAGGGTCTGCTGTAAGCACAAGGACAATGTATTTAATGCCTGAGCTAGTCAAGGGGAAGATCAAATCACTGCTTCATACCACACTGAGCACAATGGTGCTGCTCGGAGTGTGATGTGCCTCAGCTCACAGACCAGCACAGAGCTCCCTGCTGAAGTCACCACCTCCTCCAGCTGCAGCTGCTGGCCAGCTGAGAGCTCTGACCCTCACAATTCAGCCAYGCAGGAGTTAGAGCACAAATGTATTCCAGAACACAGCCTACCACTGCTGTGTATGAAAGGTGCTGGGTTAAATTTTCCCATTATTGAAGGAAATTAGGTTACACAATCTCAGTATTAAAGTTTAATATCAAACAATTTGCTCAATGTTACCAATTTTCAATTACAAAACAGGRTCCAAAAAAAATTCCATAGAATATGTTTAGGTGGCTGAACAGAGTTAAGTGTGTTCAGACTGCAAGGGTAAATATCCATAACTTTTTGGTATAAATTATCTACAAAAACTGGTATAAACAATATTCCAATCTTAGTATGGGTTCCACCTAGGATTAGAGCARTTTTCAGGGTGACATGCAGCAGGTGTTAAAGTTCATTGCCGTTGACACATTGTTGCTGCAGCCTTGCTTTCCGCAGTGCCTCGAGTTGTTTCGCTCTCAGCCACCTCTCCCTGGACAGCGTCGTCTGCCCCGCGCTGAGTGACAGAAACCTGGGGAGCACAAAGAGCAGGTCAGGACAGCTCCTGCAGCTATTGATTAACCAGTACAGCTCCAAACAGCTGCATTTCAACATCTGGGGAATTGGAAAGCATGGGATCAGAGCAGGGAGGGAATGGTTTGCCTAACTAAGAAACTGTGATGAGGAACAAAGGGAGAGGAGATTGAATCTGACTGATCTGGCACAACTCGATTCAGCTGCAGACCAAGTCCTGCCCAATCTGCAGCTTGTGCTGGAAAGCCTTGAGTGGTGACAAGGGCACCACACCCACCTGGCCACGAGCAGCATTTTGTGCAGGTCATCAGCTGTGACTCTCTCAGGGTCGTTCTTACGCATTTCAACAAAGTCTTCCTCTACTGCCTGTGAAAACAGCGTGGAATTATGGAGCAAAACAGATCTTCACTCCAACATGGGCTTTTAAGAAGCTAAAMACTGTAACTACCCTGAGATTACAGGAGAATATTTCAATTCACTGCTGTCCAGAACTGAGCCTGAGCAAAGCCAGGCTCCTTCTCATCTTTGAAAATAACTCAGCTTTCATAGTGAGTGTTAGAAAGCAGGTTACATGGGCTGTTTGTTATTGGTACTAAACTCAGCATATAGTTTATAAATCCTTAAAGGCACATTCAGGACGTGAAACCACTTCCTTTTGGTCTTTGTAAAAAGGTGAATCACTGACAGGGAAAGTACAGTAATGTCTACCAAGGTGCTTTCTATCCAAATATACAGTTGAAAATTTATTAGTGAAGTCTCCCTACCTTGGTCACCTCATCAGATATACTGTAGTCCAGCAGCCTCAATAAACTCAGGTAGATGCGGAATTTGTTCAGCACAGAGGGCAGCACTGCTGTGAGGAGGCTGCTCATGTACTCTTCCATGTTCGGGGGAATTATCTGCGGCTGTAAGTGGACTTGACAATCTGACTGGAAGAGAAAATTACATTTCATCTCTTTCCACATCCCACTGTTTTCTATTCCAAGACTAATCTATTATCAAAACCAGCAGAAGTCACTATTTCCCAGAATTAAGGAAATTCTTCAAACATTTCGCAGCTCCCATGTTGTACAGCTCCTGATTCAAGCAGGAGCTGGCTTCACTCAGAGGCAGGAGAGCAAAGGCTCAGCAAAGCTGCAGTGTCAGAGATGAGACGTTTGCAAGCTCAGGCTCCTCTGGGGACAATGCCATATGTGTGCCCATCACCTCAGGAATTACCATGCCAGAGGGAGTCTTTCAGAGTGGCACCATCTCTGCAGGCTCCACCCATCATCCCTGGGTCCTTCACCACCTCCCCATCCCTGTTCACCAAGGAGGAGGGAAGCTCCATCTTCTTTTCCCATTAAGAGGTTTCTGGCCTGGCTGTGCAGCCATTGCCAGTGTCACACCCTCCCTGGTCACAAGACACGTTTCCTGTCCCCAYTGTCCCTGGCAGGGCCTGCTGTGAGCAGCAGCTGCCAGCTGCAGTTCCCCCAAAGCCAGGGAGCCTTCCCATACCGGCAGCAGCGAGCGGCCCTCGGAAGTGATCAGAACATTAATGTTGCATGGGAATTCCATCCGGTGGTAATTGAAGTCATAATCCACYTTCTGCCAAGTTATCAGGTTACCCAGTGCTGTCACATTATGGACACCTG